CGATCGACAATATTCTTAGAATATTCAAGGGAGAATAATCCATTTATAGACATTCTATGCACATTCTTTCGGGAATAATCCTGCCATATTCATTCAAGCATATTCTATGAATATTTTAAAGGCATGTATATATTCCAAGAATATTCTATGAATATTTGGAATATATACGTTCGTTTTATGATATACAGGGAATATTCCATGAATATCTAGTGCTGTGTGGGATGATCATCGGCAGAAAGCAATATATTCATTTGTTTAGTCTAGTTCAACTTTGAACGTGACCACAACAACGCTCGAAGGTCCGACAGTCATAACGTAATTCAGCGCTTTTTCAACTGAAAAAATATCTACACCGAAGAAACGGGTAATCGACCTCGATCTCGATGAATAAAATGACATTTTATGTTACTATCGTAATGGCAGTTATTACAAATTGATCTACGCAGGTATCGAAATTGTGTGTTATGGTATTATAAGTTTTTGGTTCTGTCATATTCTCCTTGAGAAAACTAATACCTGAGTTCAACTGATGCCCGGGTTGTAGTATCATGGAACAGCAATTTGTTTTCGTCTTTGCAGGTCAAATGTTCCTCCAGAGTTTTATTCAGATGTAAGTAGATAGGTCCCAGTGTGTGGATCTGTTCGACTTTCAGCTGCAAACCGCACGGGTAGCTCACCGTATTTGAACTTTGTCAGATGAAGGCATTTCTTATGAATCTAATCAACCTAACGGCCAAACTCGGAAAACCTGAAACAGAGGCGGCAGTCCTACAAACCAAGTCCCTGCATATGATAATTCAGATGATCATAATCTATAAGTAGAACGGTTAGATAACCTGGGTCATCCCTGCAATAGACCAATAATTGTTTGGTAATATATTTCTAACGATGTAGATTCTTGAGGTACAATTTATTACCAATTGACACAACAAGTTTTCAAACTGAACGTATAGACAAGTCTGCGGTCATCAGCGAAATATAATTTGGAACAAGCAATATCCCCGGGAAACACCAGAATTGGTGGTAAAGGTATCCAAGAGAAATCAAAACAAATTACAAAAGAACTAATAACAGGACCGAAATCAAAAACACTATGAAAATATTAATCGTCATAGTGTGATTTGTGATTTTATTGCTTTACCAATAATTGTAATGGGAAAGACAGACCCGTATTCAGAATATGGCTATGTTGACCGTGTTGACACGAAAAGTTAATTCAAAGATTTATTGCTACATTGTTATTGTACATTTCGATTACAAAAATGTCTCTCTTTTCATTTTTTTATATTTCCTGAAATGAAAATTATATTCGTAGAAAATCAAAAACAACATTTTTAATTTTTCCTGTATAACTCGAGAAGAGCAAAAAGCCCATGTTAATTTTTATTAATGACCATTGTACTGATATTATACAGCCAGTAACCCAGTTATTATGACATATTTGTTCATTACATTTTCTTAGCAAAAATTTGAGTAAATACCAAATGACTCACCAATACTTCGAATTGGATGTTGGATGTTCAAACAATTTTCTGGTTAAACGGTACTTCTGAATATCTTTCAAATTGATATATTATCAGTAATAGAGGTCTAAAACTACAGAAACATTATTCAGTTTATTGTTTGATTCAACATAATTTCAAAACATTTAATTTGGGACAGTTACTCATAGTGGCTCGTAACTGGAGATGCTTTCACCGACATATTTCGAATCTTTGGATATGCACACGTTATACAGGGCTTTTCATGATGAGCGTTAATTAGCCGTTTCTGGCAAACTATTCAACGGATCAACCTGAAAATTCCACAGTATGCATAAGTCAATATGACCTACACGCCTAAAATATTTCAGACGAAGCGGCGTTGTCGCTTCTACTATAAAGTAGCGGCTTCTTTGATTTTTAAAATGGAACACCCCGTATATACTATCATATTATGATTCATTATCACTTTGTCAACAAATTCATATACTATTTCCCTATACCTATCTATTATTAGAAGATACAAATTAATTTCGATATTTTTTTTACCAAACATGAAGTTTTATAAGTGCTGATAATCTTGAACTCTCTTGCACTAAAACGATCAAATTTGAAATGGAGTGAAGTGATACTATGAGGATCTTCACTCCGAGTCATATTTTTATTTGCCTCATACAGGGTCTTCAAAAAATGCAGATACTTTGATCTCATGAAAAAATGAGTGAAACTCAATTTTTTCAAATGGAACACCCTGTATATTCCAACATTTTTGTGCTCTATATCCAATTTTAGGTTAACTTTGTTCAGATAATACTATTTCTATTTTGAACCGTTTTCGAGATAAACTGTTTCAAACGGAAATTGACATGGTTCCCTTGTTCATCACTCATTTTTGTAAAACAGATTTCGTTTGATGTTTCTCAATTAGTCACAGATAATACAATGAGAAGATAATTATTAAAATACTTCTTAACCATCGAATGGAACTTCTCTTCAAACAATAGTTTTATTAACGCTGAAACAGGAACTGAAAATAATAAACCCATAAATTAATGAGTTAATTTAATCGTCAGTGTATTTCAAAATATGTTCAAACACATATCCACCTCTACTTAAACAAACATGTAATCCCTTCAAAAGATTGTCATGTGTAGCGCTTCTGATCAAGTCTGGAGTCAAACTATTGAAAGCAGTTGTAACTCTCGATTTCATATCTTCCATTGTTGTTATTGGAGTAGAGTAAACCATATTTTTAATGAAACCCCACATGAAATAATTTAATGGATTGCCATCTGGTGTTCTAGGAAGTTAACGAAAAGGTCCATTATTACCAATCCATCTGTTTTCGAAGATTTCGGTTAAAACTTCATATTTTGATGCATTCAAATTATCATCATAAAACTCGATATAAAAAATTGACTCATTCTTTATGGCACAAAATACATTGAATTGCCATATTTCTTGAAAACCCTTTTGGCAGACAACATGGGGTTTTTCTGACGCCCAAGAATGACTGTTGTGTCTATTGAAAACTCCATTTTTTGTGAACTTGACCTCATCTGTCCATATGATATTGTCAAGGAAATGTTCATCCTCTTGAGTCTTGACAAGTAACCATTCAAAGAATTCCACTCTACGAGGTAAATCAGTCTCTTTCAAATGTTGGACACAGTCGAACTTATAGGGATGCCATTTATGCTTATTAAGAATTCGACAAATTGTCACGTAGGGTACCTATACCTATCTCCCTTTCAGCCTCGTGCAGAGAAGCATTTGGAAATGCATGAAAGTATCCCAAAACTGTTATACCATTGTCATCATCATGCACTTTAGTCTTCTTACGAATGATTTTTGGACGGAAGGTTCCATTCAACCTACAGTTTTTTAGTAGTCGATTTATCACATTCGGCTTCGGAAGTTGTGGATATCTTTCATGAAATACTCGGCATGTTCTACTTGCAATTCTATTGCACTCACCATAAATTATTGATAAATTCAAGAAATATTCATTACTGTAACCTAATCTTGACATTATTCTATTATAATTGGTAGCTATCACAATCAGTCAAAACGACCAACGGAAGTCTGACGTTAAATAATTGGTTTATTTATTTTTCCAAAGCACACTATTGAAAAATATTAATGTGTACTGTTGTTAGAGACCAATACCTCAATGTATACAAATTGTAACTTTTTCTAAGGTAGTTACATACCAATTTCGAATTGACTGATCTGAGACAGTTAAAAAATCAAAAAGGAATATTACTAAGTATAAAAAAAAAGGTTGAATATCCAAAATAAGTGATGAATTCAAAAAAACGAGCAAGAAAACCACGTCAGTTTCCGTTTGAAACAGTTTATCTCGAAAACGGTTCAAAATAGAAATAGTATTATCTGAACAAAGTTGATCCAAAATTGGATATAGAGCTCAAAAATGTTGAAATATACAGGGTGTTCCATTTGAAAAAATTGAGTTACACTCATTTTTTCATGAGATCAAAGTATCTGCATTTTTTGAAGACCCTGTATGAGGCAAATGAAAATATGACTCGGAGTGAAGATCCTCATAGTATCACTTCACTCCATTTCAAATTTGATCGTTTTAGTGCGAGAAAGTTCTAGAGTATCAGCATTTATAAAAGTTCATGTTTGGTAAAAAAAATATCGAAATTAATATAATAGTATGTGAATTTGTTGACAAAGTGATAATGAATCATAATATGATATTATATACGGGGTGTTCCATTTGAAAAATCAAAGAAGCCGCTTCTTTATAGCAGAAGCGAAAACTCCGCTTCGTCTGAAATATTTTAGGCGTGTAGGTCATATTGATTTATGCATACAGTGAAATTTTCAGGTTGATCCGTTAAATAGTTTGTCAGAAACGGCTAATTAATGCTCATCATGAAAAGCCCTGTATATTTATAAATTAATGAAAATACTTGAACAAATTGGTGTGGAATTATCAAACTTAAACCGTTTTCTCACAAAGCACTTTTATTCGAAGTTGATGAATCAAATTTTCGCCTATTTCATCTACAAAACTTTTTTTACAGGAAAAAATACTATAATGAGAAAACCTTGAGAGAAGAAGCAGAACAAAGGGAAGTAGAATACAAAAAACAAATTCAACACATGAAAGAAGAGATGGAAAAGGACCAAAAACGTCTGTATGAAGCAAATCTGACGATCAAGAGACTACAGGAACAGCTGGAGGACTTACAAAAATCTAAGGAGGAACTGGAACAGCAAAGAAACGAATTGAGTGCAATGATGGAGCGTCTTGAACAGAGTAAAAATATGGAAGCTGCAGAAAGACAAAAGCTCGAGGAGGAAATCAGATCGAAACACGAGGAAGTTCAGAAAATACAAGAAGAAGTTGAACGTAGAGACGCCGAAGCAAAGAGGCTCCAAGAAGAAGTGGAAGAAGCGCGAAGAAAAGAGGAAGAACTTCGACGACAAGCTGAAGAAGCACTTCGAAGGGAAGAAGAAGAGAGACAGAGGAAACTTGAACAAGAAGAATTGGAAACTCTTCCCGACGACGCAGACACCAGTCTTCCAGAGCTCCAGCAGGTGAACGATCAGTTGAAGGAGCAGCTCAAGGTATGTTGATATAATAACTCTGATAATAAGCATCCTGTAGTTGTTGAGGAAAAAAAAATTGAAGCAGAATCAATAATTGATAATCGCGAAAATGTCGGCTTCAAGTCTGCACTTGAGGTTGTAGTACTGTCTTGCAAAAATAAATAAATTTCGGGACGAAGTTCGACGAACCGAGTTATTATTCTACTTTTTGATAGCCTTCATAATACAAGAGTAATGATACGTGCTCAAAATGCATAGTCTTGATAGTGATCGGCAACCATGACGTAAATTTTGTCGCGAAACCCAGTTTGAGTAACCGAACCCTAGACGAAGTCCAGTTTGAGTAACTCTGATTTACAGTGTTTCAGCGATTATATGATTCGGCCATCCGCCATTGTTGTTTTACTCAAAGTCAAGACGGAAATTTCAAGAAACATGTTGATTTTTATATCTGAGGGAACTAATTTTGATATGAAATACCATTATAGGCTGCTTTTCAGTGGTAAGAAAAAATTAGCAAGATTGTGATATAATTTTTGGGTCTGACATAATTGAAAATTGGGTGTCTGTGCCTGAATCATTGAAGTATACTACTCTGCTTTACAATCTTAATACTCCTTCAGCATCCGAAATCGGCGGAAGTTTATACAGTGCATTTCTTTAATGTCCCCCCTTTCATTTTTTGAACGGGTCAACTCAAGAAATTGAAATTTGGGATAATGAAATCAATGCATAAATACCTTATTTTGAAGTGAAATTGACAGATGATACTTTCAAGATGGCGACTGGGTGTCATCTGGAAAAAAAAATTAGATCGAGACGAGGTCTAGTGATACATCATTTTGAAGCTCCTGACGAATATTTCAAAACCCTAGAATATGAAGTCAATATCCTCACTACAAAATGGCGGAATATTTAATAATTTCAATATTATTTCTAGAAATATTCCTTTTTATCTGTCATATGACAATTCCAACACCCAGATAAGGGTTGTTAAATTATTTTTTGTTTATATAAATGATAAAAAATGTCAGTACCTATGAACATCATTGTACAGTCCATCTCTAAAATGGTCAATTTTCGTCCATTGGAAGAAAAAATTGAAGCGAATTTTATCTATGGTGCAACCGTACGACGAGACCGAAATGATTTTCAATAAACGTTTTGCGAATCGTCTTATCTGTAAAAAATATTTGAAAGAACTTGTGTCCAAATTCACAACTACCGGTAGTACACCACCATAAGAAGTTTGTGAAGGCAGCCATTAACATCACATTGTTCTTACTTTTAGAGTTTTATGTGATGTGATGCTCCCAAACAAATGAAACATTCTTTCTTTCATCCCCAGTTTCAACGTTTCTCAACTCCTAATTGTTTTGAAGTTTTGGTACTTTTCTACTTCATGTCCATCTTTCTTGCAGAATTTACATCTGAATGTGGGTTTTCCTGGTTAAATAGATATAGTACAGACATATGTCTCCTTTTCATCCTGTCCTTTTTCAGAAACAACGTTTTTTTTCATTCTAATTTTGAATTTGTGCTCAATTTAATCACTGCGTCTTTCGAGAGGTTTGGATTCAACAAAAATTTATCATATTTGTAACTTTTCACTTTAACTGCCAGATTTTCAATTTCATTGTAAAACTCCAAAAATGTTGTCCAATTCATCTTTTTCCAAGTCAGGAATCTTCACACAATCTATTAGGTCTTGTATTAATTATATATGGCCTACCGTATCGGTTCTTTAAATTAATAGCCTTACCATTTGCATGTTGGTTTTCCTCTACAAAATTATCGACAATATAATAAGTGAATTCTCCCGATGTGTTAGCTTTGATCAAATTTAATGTACCTCTCGAACACTAGCTATGTTTAATATAACTCGATTGGTAACCACTACTAGGGTTCCTCTTGCGACCATTTTACGACTAGCTAACTACTTCAATGCAATTATTTATTTGGATTAGATTCTTTCACAAATTGAATTTAGAAATATTTCCTTGCATTATGTTTCGGATACCTTTATGTGTATAATGCTCTTATGTGTGCTGTTACTGCATTATGCGTATTTTAACATTGAGTGTCAAGTTAGATTCAATTTGTTCATGTAATGAGAGCGATATGTTAATGAATAACTGAATGAAAATGAGAAAATAATTTTCAAATCGTCAACAACTTTTTATTTATTTACATATTGTGTAAACAGCTGGGTGGAGACATCTGTGGGTAAGTCAGCAAGAGAAAAGGTCACTTGCGGACCGAATTTCATGCCGATAGCATGCGTGTACTCTTCCACCACCCTCAAGGACTGATGGAGATCCTTCTCTCCAGATGCATAAAGTTTAAGATCATCTATATAAAACAAATGGGTGACCTTGTGCCTCCGGTTTCCGGGGGTGCCACAGTTATACCCTCGAGTGTTTCTGAGCGCAACGAATGATGGCAATAGTGAGATGCAGAAGAGAAGGGGACTGAGGTAATCACCCTGAAATACACCCCTTTTGAAAGTGACCCACCCTGTTTGGACTCCTGCTTGACCAGATGTTATGGTAAAGCGAGTTCGCCAGAGTGGTATCAGTTGTTCAATGCATCTCACTATTTTGTCGGGTACCGCACGGCATCTGAGCAGATGCAAGATGAGCCTATGCGAAATTGTATCAAATGCCTTACGGTAATCGATCCAGGCCATAGAGAGGTTACGCTTATATTGTATCGAGTCCTGCGTTACACATCTATCGATGAGCAGCTTCTCTTCACATCCAGCGACTTCTCTCTTCGATCCTCTCTGCTCATATATCCGTTCGAACACTCGGTCAACTGCGGTGAGTATTCATGTGTATAAGATGCTTGTGAACAACTTATTACAAATTCAAGCATGTTATCGGTCTGTAATTTTTAGGAATCGACAAATCTCTGCTTTTGGGGATAAGAACGCCCCTCAACAAACCAATTCGGAATCGGCTGCTCTCCGTCCAGCTATGAGTGGAAAACTCTGGCCAGATGGCGGTGGGTGCTTAGTAGTTTTTTTCCACCAATAAGTGTTCAGCCGATCTGGGCCTGGAGCAGCATAGTTCTTGGAAGGGCTCTTCGAACGTCATCCGGGGTTATCGGGTTGCGCAGTTCATTGAGCTCAGGCTGTCGAAGCTCTCTGTTGAAAGCTTCGAACTGCGCTAGGGCTGGAGTGTCTGAGTTGAGTGGCTGCGGGTGTTCATAGATATCCTTCCAGGAGGATTCCACCTGATCAGCGGTCGGCGGATTATCCACAACACGTGGAGGCTCTTGGAATGAGCGAGAAGGTTTCTCGCGGAACCTAAGGTTTTCCGCGATACTTCTCGCTCGCCTCACTAGTGACTTCTTAGCAGCCACTAGCATCCATATCCTATCAAGGCAGTGCTGTTTGGTGGTCAGCAGCACGCCTTGACTTAGAGTGTGATGGATACGTCGTAGTTTGGCGGCTATTCGCCGCACTGTGGGCATGAAAAGCTTGTTGGCCGCCCTGTAATCCATCACACATTGGATACGAGACGCGTGTTGTCTCGCCGACGTGATCTTAGCCTCCATCTTGTGTACACGCCGTTCAATCTTCCGAACCGCAAGGCCGGGATTTCGTCCTTCCGATTCGGAAAGCGATTGGACGACATTATACACGGCGGTGTTGATTTGCCAGATGTCAGCCTCTTCTGTTAGAACACTATGAACCTCCGCATCCAAACGAACCAGTTCTTGTGGCTTCAGGGGCTTAATCCTGTGAAGCGCCCTGCGTGTTCTGATTGTCGTCTCCATTGGTGGTATGATGCGAGTCTCCTCTCCTGCCGTGCCAACGGGTGGTAGAACTGTCACTTCTACCACTTCGTTAGCAGGCTGGGAAGGAGCTAAAAAGCCCTGCCGCCGAAGATGAGATACATAATCCCTAAGGTTTTGGGCGGAAAAGGTGGCATGCTCCGGATGTGTTTCACACCACAGAGCATGCAATCTCGCCATCTATTCTCTTCGTGCAGGCTCACTACTCTCGTAGCAATGCATAAGGCTATCTCTTAGTTCATACGTCCACTCAAAACGTCCGTTTTCATGGCCAGGGTTGTCATCAGTAGGCAAATCATCGTTATGGGCCCCACCACCTTGCCTCTGACCCTCTTTCTTGATTATTGGGAACCAAGTGTTGGGTCCACCGGGTGGTTAGCCCTTTGGACCCACGGCCGGCACCGGAGGGAGAATGGAGTTCTCCTTCCCGGGTGCGCCTGGGCTGCCGGTCCGGTTTTGCACCAGTTGCTCGGGTAAGTGGTGTCGCAACTCACCAAAGGCAAAGAGTGTTAGTAGCCATCCCTGCTTATATTATTATTATTATTATTATTGTTATTATTATTATTATTTTAAAATCAAATAAACAACATAAATAAAGACAAACATTTTAAATCAAACTTCTGCAGGACGCGTTCTATAATTATAAGTTCTATAGAAAAAAACCTATACTTGCATAATAATCTACCATCATACTGTACCAATTTTCACCGGATCACATAGTAGTTTTTCAAATTGTATATGATTTAAGTTCATATGAACTATTAACATATTATTGCGTAATTAACAGAGTATCATCGTACATTTTAGTTGCTTCAGAGTAAACTGGAGGAAACCAGACAGCAAGAGCAAGAATCTGACCTTGATAGAATACATAGGATCAATTTACTTGAAGGTCGGGATAAATACAAAACGCTAGCAGATATCAGAAGAGGAAATACTGTAAGAAGAGTAGAGATGTTCGAAAATATGTAAAACTTTTTGAACACTTTTATCATTGAGGTTTGTAAAATGTAACCTGTTACAATTTTAAAGAGAATTACATTTTTTTCAATAAATAATATGTTTGAATATGAAGTGTTTTTATAATCTCAACTAATGATATAGAGGTAGAATATTTGTTTGTTTGTAATGAGCAAACTCAAAAACAACTTGAATTGAAGAAAGTTATATCATCATGGAATAAAATGGACTATATCTTACAAAAAATGCAATAAATTCAATAATATAACCTGTAGTATAAGAAATCATCACCATCCTATTGTAATAAGTTGGATTTATTATATTTTTAGTTGAATTTTAGATACCAAAACACATGTGTTTTCGTATGAAAAGGGAACCTTATCATCTTTCA